TTGTTAAGACAATTTTTTGCTTTTAAACGTGTTGGAAGGGTTACACTTGTATTTACAAATAAACAAACTATACTTTTCGCTTCTTTATGGTGTAAAACCATCGCAGTGTCTTTTTTAAAATGAAAAAATGGTTACTGAACTCTGTTTCGTTTGCAAATACCATGTGGCAAAAGCAGTAGCCTACAGTTGTGGTTGAGAGTTCGGCGAATGGCCGATGGCAGATGTCAAACTGTAGAGTTACACAAAGCATGTCAAAATAATGTAGTTTGGTCAGTCGTTTCAGATGGGAATGTCTCCTTGAATAAATCCAGCTGACAAACAGAGCACGGCAAGGTGGAGCCCATCAAACACGTGTTGGTAAAATTGTTTGTACATTGTATTTCAAAATTGTCTAAATACTTTGGATATTGTGTGTGATATGACGATGATATAACCTCCGCACTATTTTATGTATACGCTGTTCCTTCATTGTGATCGACGTGCTCCCAAGGGGACCAGTAAAAAGAGATACTCTTTTGCTTGTTTTTGCAAGTGTTTTACACCGCTCGCACCTGCATAAGGTCATTTGAGCGCGCGGGACACATTCAACTTTTTCAGTTGGTAGGAAATTTTGAATTTTGCCCGGGTGGCGGCCAAAGCCTACTCTTATCAATTTTAGTTCACCAAGGGATCTTTAACGTGCGCAACTTGCACACGGGCCCTCCGAGATTTTTCGCCCTTGTCCGAGAAGGTTAGGTGTAGATCTTTCCTACCAGAAGATCAGAGGTGTGGCTGAAAGACAGCAGTAAGAAGAAGCCGAGGAGTAGCAGTAGTAAGACTGTAGAAAGAATCAGTAGCCCAGAGGAGGGGGGGGGGGGGGCAAAGGAGATGAGGTAGTGGGGGCAGAAAGAGGACACAAAAGCAGACAACAGAACATTGCTAGAGAGCAGGAAAGGAGGTGAAAGGAGAAAAATTAAGAGAAGAAAATTTTTCGGTCACTACCCGGATTCGAACCCGGGACCTTTGAATGAGAGGCCAACACCCTAACCTCAAGGCCACGAGAGCCCCCAGATATTACTCTATTACTTCTTTAGTTACATTTTACTGTTAAACAAAGTGATTTTGGGATTTCACATTTTATTATTTTTAAATAGGTATTAGCGTATAACAATTTGTCCCCCAGTGCTCGTTGTCATCACACAGAATCTGTTCAGTCGGAAGGGCGTATGGTAAGTGTGTAAGTGCCTTATGGACGCATTGATGAGGGTGGTTGTCTTATGGCGATAACGATGAAGAAGAAACCAATAATATTAAGATACAGTTAGCTTCTTGACGACTCAGGTTGCGACGTTAGATAAGAATATGAATCAAATTCACAGAGATGTAGTTTAATTCAACCTTATAAGATAATGAGCTATGGGGAAATTGCATAGAAGGAAATAGGGAAAAGAGAGAAGCTAAATGAATGGCATAGAGACGGGAGGATGCGGGAGAAAGAGACAGAGGGTGGACGAGAGGAGCATGAGGAGGAGGAGGGGGAGGAGGAGGAGGAGGAGGAGGAGGAGGAGGAGGAGGAGGAGGAGGAGGAGGAGGAGGAGGAGGATAAGGAAGACGAGGAGGAGGAGGACGACGACGACAGACAGACAGACAGACAGACAGACAGACAGACAGACAGACAGACAGACAGACAGACAGACAGACAGACAGACAGACAGACAGACAGACAGACAGACAGACAGAGAGTGTGTTAGAGAGAGTGAACGGAAACAAACTGCAAACTGTAACATATTGAGCAAAGATCCTAGTTGCCATTATAACAACTAAGCAAGCAGCCACACCAGCATGGAGGAATGGTGTTCTAGCACTACAGAACGACAGCAGCTGACGAGGCAGGAGAGAGAAGAATAATGAAGTGAACCACTCAAAAAGCAAGTGGTTCAGACAAGTGGACGCTTTATTTAGGAGGGGCAGAGGAAGGCTGCATGGCCAGTGCAAACACGCACGAAAATTACTCAATTATAATAAGCCTGAAACACGTTTTAGAGAAGGCACAATTAATTGCTATAAATACATGGAAGGTACAAAGGAAAACCGTCTATGCGGTGCCGATTTCACGTTGGAAGAAAGAAAAAACAACAAAAAACGTTCATACAATTTCCCCAGACAAACTGCTCAAGACTGCAGTTTTTATTCTCTGACTAAGCACTTAAAGCGAAAGAAAATTCGGAAAAGTTAAACCAAGTCCAGAAAGAGGCGGCGGAAACATTGGACCGACAGAGGTGAGTAAAGAAATTGAAGCACTTATGAAGCGATTGGAAAATTCACTGATGGAAGACATAGCCGATAAGGAACAAGCATTATAGCCGGTACGAAGTCGAAACCGAGGGGGGAAAAATGAGTCAAATTTTTAAATGTTTTCTTCTTTTTTTTGGAAGGGGGGGGGGGGGTAATTACAACTTACACCTGGTCTTTGACTGGAACTAGATCTAACAGCCCACAGTCATGAAAGATAGGCTACTTGTATTCTCCATGTTCAAAATGGGACACAAAGTAGGGGACAGACGACACTCAAACAAACGCCCACCCATTGCCATTGTACACACATCTGCACAACGATATAATTAATATATCCACGCAAACAGCGACTTGATCAAGCACGAAGCCACACACGCACACGCGCGTGCACGCGTGCACACACACACACACACACACACACACACACATGCGCACACACACACACACGCACGCACACACACACACACACTCACACACACGCACACACATGCACATACACGCACACACTTTTTGGGCAGTAAAGAACATCTTTTAGTCTACCCCCCACCCTCCCCCGCCGAATAAAGTGCGGGTATTGTGTTGTAATGCTTACACAGGTCCCGGATCTTTAGCTTTAGTGAGAGTTTTACACCGCTTGCAATACAATAAGGTCATATAAGGGCCGACGATTAGGGGTGTTTCAAGAGAGTAACAAACATAAAAGGGAAGGAAGAGAGATCAGGACGATAGATGTTTGATAAAAAAAAAAAGAAGGAGCAAACCACACCAGAGCTATATAATTATTATGAGCTATCTGTTGCGAAGAAGTACATACTGGAATAATCGTGCGCCCATGGAGACAAGTTCCATTCATGCCATTTAGCTGTCACAAAAAGTCATAAAGACTGCAGCACCTAAATGGTAGAAAAAACACAAACTCCTTTTTACTTGGAGTGATATGCCATTAACTTTCAACTCACCCTCTTTTGACAACTTGGAGGAACAAAACATTTCGAAACGTTTGAAGACAAAATAATTGCTCTCCTCTCTTGGGAGTGTGATAGAGGTTTGCCCGATTTTGGCCGTTCATGAGCAGAGGAGTACAGTGTATAACTCTAGGGTTAATAAAAAACCCAAATAAAATCCCAGATATATGCTAGAAATATCAATCTAGGGTCGGGGCTAATGATTCTCTTACACAACAGCATGAGCAAAAGCGTCATTAACAGCAGCAGCAACAACAACAACAACAACAACAACAACAACAACAACAACAACAACAACAACAACAACTGTGATGGCGACGACGGCGATGTAGCAACAATAGAATTAGCCAACTGTTTTCTCGAAGTGCGGTACCGAGATATTCGTCTAGACTAAGAGTGGTCGTCGGTATTACGTGAGACATGAAATAATTTGGTAGGAATCTAGCGATTCAGTTTACTTATATTTACTCACTTCTTACACGACTGCTTCTAATCACAGGGCTTGTCGACGGAAGGACACAAAAATAAACAAGACGATCACAGGGTAGGCCGTATGAGAGGGAGCAAAGCTGGGAAAGATGGGGGTAACAGAAAGTACGTTGTTTCAAAGTCCTTGGCTCCAAAACGGTGCTCAGGAATCCGGGCCCAGCCAGGAAATGAGTGGATTTAAGGGAGGGGGCGGGGGGAGGGGTGTTGATGTGGATGCATCATTCCAACGGGAGTTTTTTCTTTTATCTTGGGCGGCCCTCAAGCAGATTTAATTGAAACACAGCCCACCCACATTTTCTGTGACGACAAATACTGTTTTATTTCCTCGCAATCCATTCACTGAGCTCAACTGCTCTAAACACTCTCTTTGAAAGTTAATTAAACGAATCTACTGAGTTTAAGTAAAAACATGAACTGTTTGAAATCTTTTCAACAACTTCGCATGGCTCCGTCCACCCCCCCCCCTTTCCCCCGCCCCCATCCTTGTTGCCTTTCCTCATCCCCTGACAAAGAAAAGATCCAGCAAAATATAAATACATAATTTTAAAAAAATGCAGTAATAATCTTTTCCGGACGCAGGGGGTTCGAATTAGAGTAGGTCCCAATTAATTAGGTCTTTCCAGGAACATCCCAGCTTACAAAAGAACGTGCTGATGATTGAAATTCTCGCATTTAGTATACTATGATTTTTTTTAAAGTAAAAAGGAAAGAATAAGTGAACCTTGACACACAAAGGCACGCGCGCGCGCGCGTATGTGTGTGTGTGTGTGTGTGTGTGTGTGTG